ACTCATTAACTCGACAGGGAGAATGATACACCTCCTCGATGTTTTTTCTCCATTCTATTTCTTTTTATTTTATTTCATTTTATTTCGCCCCTCACACCACGATGTTTTCTTTGGTTGCCGACAACTTGATCAAATAACACACTCGTCTTCCCCTGGGCTACCTTGAACTTTATCTTTTGTGTTCACTCCAAGACAAAAGACGATCCCAGGTCGCTCGAGTGTCCTGACAAAGTAATAATTACTAAAAATGAATCCCGCTGACTCACCTTATGTTTATGCTTGACAGCTAAATATCGCCCTCCTTATTTGCTATTACGATAAAAGCTCTCCACGATTCCGTTAAATAGTTAAAAGCTCTGTCTCATTATTTTTATCCATTAAATTAATAGAAACATTTATTATATAATTATTTTAGATTATTTATATTAGCGAATAAGACCTTCATTTTAATAAATTGGGATTAATTATTCAAATTTTTTGGGAAGGGTTTCACTTTAATTAATTGCTTCTTTTTTTGTGGACATTTTAGGAATGTCACTTTGATATCATGTACAATTAAAGCCTTATCTATTTTGGGGTAAGTTTAGAATTTATACAAATTATTAATTTGAGACCTTTAAAAAAATATCTGCACTGATAAAAAAATTAAGTTGCTTTTAAAAAAAAAATCCAGATCATTTTAAAGAGTCAAATGATTTTACTTTAAAAAAAAAATGAGTAAAATTTACTCAAACTAAAAAAAATTTTCCAGTTAAATTGAAGATCAATTTTCGTATTGAAACTTTAAAAAAGACTTTCAAGTTTCATATTACAACTTTAAAAATAAACGCAATATTATTTCAATTGTATATTTTTCTATATAATATTATATTGAAGGTATTCCGAGAGAAAATTGAATCGAAAAAATTTCTGCGTAAATATTGAAAAAGATAAGCGCTCGAATTACAAGTGAATAAAATAAAAATAATTATGAATATTGACGAGCTTCATTCTACAGAATATTATTTTCATCTATTAAACAAAATTGTGGACAGAAAAAAAAATTAACTTGAATAAAAAAAAACAATTCTTGAACCAAGTGAAATTTACTTGAGCTAAGAGAAATTTCTTAGTTTAAGAATTTTTCTACTCAAATCAATAAGAAGCTAATGTTTTTTAAAATTATTTACTTGATTCAAATAAATTTTTTTTTCTATATGCTCAATTAAATCCATCAAATCGATAAAATTATTAAATGAATCCATTATATCGATGGTCTAATTAGCAATTTGTCTAACTCCTTATTTTTTAACATTTTGATGTAGCCATAATCGAATTATAAATTATTTGAATGATTCAAACCCGAATATTTTATCTTTTAAATGGTTTTTAAAAGTGATAATAAATTTTGAACTAGTTGTTTTTTTCGTACAAATAGAAGATTCTCTAAAATAGAGTTAGACAATTTGCTAATTAGAACGTCGATATGTTTATGTATTTACACTGTGTATTTATAATAAGAAAAACACAGCCTTGGCATAAATAAATTTATCTAATCTAATCTAAATATCTGTAGTTTTTATAAAAAAAAAAAAAAACGCTGAAAGATAATTAGTGATCAAACTAAATTTTTTTTTTATTTTAATAAAAATTTTTTCTCTATAAAATATTCTTAGCATTCATTAGATTCTTCAGAGAAATTTCTAAAGAATTCATCAGATTTATTTTTATCAAATTCAAAGAACAGTCTTAATAAAAAAAAAAAAAAACTATAGAACGTCTAAAGAATGAAATCAATGTAGAAAATTGTTAATAATAAAAAAAAGTGTATGAATGTTTATAAAAATAAACTGGACGAGCGATTGAGTCACTAATAATATCGAGTAACATTGACAATAGCATTATCCTCGGAGTTCTTTGTGGACCATTGAATGTGACTTTTCTATTGAAGAGAATATTGTCACTTTCACTGTAGCGTTTATTTTTTTTCTCCTTTTTCTCTTGCTATATATATAAATACTTTCAATAAAATCCTGAGGAGGTTTTTTTATCCGGCTTTCATCGACTTCCGTGTAGCTTCACGGTTTAACACTCGACTATCCATCTCGAAGCTATTCAAGAGCTGCTCGCATGAAGCTCGGTACAGTATATAGTATATATATTATTATGAGCAGGACTTTCTTGGAATACCGCAGATGCATCACGGATCGAATCCCACAGCAGACGAACTTGAGCACTCACAACTCAGACTGGGACATTAAACTGGCTGTAAACTCATAAATGCTTCACAGGTGAACGACTCTGAAGCTATCCATCGATCGCTCCACTCACCCGAGGATAATCGTTCTTAATCTCAGAAATAAAAAATCCGGCATTTAAAATCCAATCTCTACAATTGCTACTACCCTCCATTAATTTTCCCTCCGGTTCTCAAGGCTCCCAGCTTATATACAGTGTGTTTTTACGGCAATTTCATCTCGGCAACTTATAGTCCGAATAAGAGAAAAAAAGTTTCTCAAAGCTCTTGCTATTAGCGTAAATATTGCTGTTTGAGGTCTTTTAGTCAAAGATAAACCGCCGGAATTAACTCGCGAGAAGTTGAGGTCATAAATCATTTCGAGATTCATTTTAAATATCACTTTGCACGGGAAAATTTTTTTTTTTTTTTCATTACTTTTAATACAATGTTTTTCTAATTTAAACTTAAAATATCATTTTTTAAGTTGTTTATCTCCTGTAAATTATTTTAAAGAGCTTATTTGTATTTAATTAAGACAAAATATTTTTAAATCAAAAAAAATTTCTGTTCAAAAATTTTTCTGCTGCACTCAAAGCTTTTCTATTGAATCAAGTTAATTTTTGGTAAATATTTACAAGTGGGGTGGGTCCACCATTTTAATTTTGAATTTTTTGAACGAAATTTCTATTTGATTTTATTGATATATTTAAAAAAAAAAATGAACAATTAAAAAAAATAAATTGATTATCACAACTTTAACAAATTTTCAGAAAAAATTTATAAATTTTTTTTAAAATTGTGATATTCAACTTTTTTTTTTTAATTGTTCGTTTTTTTACGTAATTTTAAAAAAAATATATTAAAAAAAGATAAAATAGAAATTTTATCCAAAAACATAAAAGCCAAAATTGTTTCCTACTATTGAAGGCAAAAAAGCTATCGAAATCTTTATTTTTTCCTTTCACATTTATTTTATTTTATTTTTACTTATGAAGAAACGCCCTCGGTAATTTACAACAATGTGTTATATTTTTATGTATAGAATGTTTAGAATTAATTTTATACAATACATAGCATCTGCAAAGAGAGGACAAATTTAAGAAATTAAAGAAAAAATATTAATTTTTCTGCTAAATATGGCCAAAAATAGGCTGGACCCCACTTGTAAATAATTACCTAATTTTTTTTTTAATTTATACTATTAAAACTGATAATTGTCTATAAAAATTTTGTTTTCAATAGGATTCAAAATAAACATTAATAATTAAAAAAAAAAATTGAGTCAAAACTTAAAAAAAACTCACCACAGTAGATTTCTTCATCTTTCTCCGTTAAAAATTTTTCTTTTTACAACCCTTAAATTCTCCCTCTATCACAATTTTCCTTTTATTTCTCATTAGACACCATTAAATAATAAATATAGCTCGTAAAATATTGCGTGACATGCATTTTACAGAGCGTAGAGCTTGTTATAGTTACGTACGCGTACAATATAAATTTACCGGCACTCCATCAGTTGTTATAACAACCAAACTGTCGAGAAATATTCGATCAACATACACGTTATCGTATAGTACAAACACGCCCTACAAAATCTACTCGACAAGCAAACTAAAGAACCTTTTTATTTTATTTTTTTTATTGTATTTGCAAGCCCCATTGTACTTAAAATTTTACATATCATATACTAGAATCGTCGGGAAAAAAAGTTAGCACAACTCAACTGAATATTAACGGTGCCATTACTGCTTAGGAGAATAATATTTTCGCGCACTAGACAACACATCGCGGTAGACTGTCTGGTAATGCAAGGAGTCTGCTGCTGCTGGTTACCTTTTATATTACAAAGTCAACATAAATAAAACAAAAGTCATATCCACATCGAACTTTACTCATAATTGAATTTACTGAAAGCCACTTATTACTAACGCTATTTACGTTCGCAGATACGTTTGATGCGAATAATACTTTATCGCTATAGCTATACTAGTTAAAGAGAAGTATGGAATTATATTTACACATCAATACCAATGACAATAACAATAACAATAACAATAACTGTAACATATTTTAAAAATAACAATATGCATAATGAACGATAATATAAATCTTGTATTATAACTTATAAGTAAACGTCTTGGCAGTTGTATGTTATAAGGCTTCTAAGTTATGACTGTCGTGGCTTTATTTATCCGGGTGAAAACTTTAAAGGGGAGAAAACTTTTCCAAGAATGTTCGGGGAACAAATACGGGTAAAAAGTTTTGTTTTACATAAATAAGTCCGTTGTACATATTTAAAGTTTAATTTCATCAGAAAAAGTAATGCTTACGTGGAATGTCTTTTTAGAGCTGTGTTTTATCGGTTTTAAAGAAATTCAATAAAATTTGAGGGCGAGTCTGAATAATTAAGACACTTTATAGAATAAATATCGCGTTCAATGAACCAAAAGGGTGTATAAAGTATTTTTTTTAACTTTATACACCTTTTTTATTTTATTTACTTAAATCAAGTAAATAATTTTAAAGAATTTCATCTTCTTAATTTGGGTAGAAGAATTCTTAAATTAAAAAATTTTTCATTTTGATTCAAGAAAATAAAACTCTTCAAAATTATTTTCTTGGTTCAAGAATTTTTCTCTTGATTAAAGTTAATTTTTAATTTCAGTGCAGTAAATACTATTTTTTTTATATTTTTATTTAATATTGGTTCAAGTCGGTAAAAATAATCAAGTACAAGATAAATTACCTGGGCTTGAACTGCTGCAAAGTGCAAATGGGCGACACCTAAGTCGAATCGCTTCATCGAAATGTCTTCTTGAAGCTCCGCGGCTTTTGTGAATAGATTGCTTTCAGCGCTTCTGTAAAATATTATTTTAAATTTAGCGTGAGGTTCATTTTTCTACTCATAAAAAAGAAAATTTGATTAAAGAGAAGAAATTGACTTTTTTATTAGTATATTAATAATTAATTACTTTTAAAAAAAGTAATTAATAATTGCAAAGTATTAAACTTAACATGTAAAGTTTGTAAGTGTTTATTTATATATTTTCATCTTCTAGATTAAAATAACGGGACATTTCAGTCTACTTTCTTTCTCATGATAAATTTTAAGTTTTTTTTTGTCTCAAGTGTTTATGCTGAAGCATAATTACACGTAAAAAGGTGTACCGTCACTTTAAAATGAAATGGGTGAAATATACATTTATTTTTAAAGAAAATGTTCATATTTTTTAAGTTCAAATTTAGCGATTAAAATATTCTTTATATTTTTTTATTTTTAAAAGAAATTTTTAACAAAAAGAATAATGGGCCCATAACCTGTAAGTAATTTATAATAATAAATTCATAAAATCTTACAAGGTTTATCAAAAAATTTTAAAAGTCAATCAAATATCAATTTTTTAATAAATATCCAAAAAAATTAATTTTAAATTTAGATTAAGTTTATTTTAAAAATAAACTAAAATTTCAGGATCAATATTAAGAGATTGAAACCGATTTTTGGGTCATTCACCCTTCAAAGATTCACATCTTAGTAAAAAAAGTAAATTTACATGAATAAAGAGTAGGATTTACTCCAACCTAAATTATTTTTCCTTTGCGATTAAATAAATCCTTGTTTAAAGAATGAAAGCTTTTGAGCCGATTAGATCTGACTCTTGAATATCAAATCAAATAAGATTAATTTTCCTTGAAATTTAATAAATGATTTATCAATTAACTATCAATTAATTAACTATATTATGCTAATTAGTAAAATTAATTATAATTGTAAATAATTAGTCATAATAATAATAATAATAATAATAATACTTACTTGCGTTGCATTCGCATGAGCGCATCCAAAGAATCCTGAAGTCTCCCGATTTCAAGAGTAAGAGAATCAGCCTCGCGGCGCAAATCCTCGAGATTGGGTTGCCCGTTGATTCCAGTCGGTACCAATTCATCCCTCAAGGCAGGGACCTGATTAATTTTATCCATGGGAACCTGCTCGGGCGGCGATGGCGGCACGAACAGCCGTCGCGGTGGTTTTCTATCAAACAATCATTCCCGATTCGTCATTATTAAATCCCGCTCTTCGATCACAATATTTTCCAATTAAACTACGGTATTAAATCCGGCCGCTTAATTGCTTGTATGTTAATTGGAGATCGAGATTAAGAATTATAAGGAAGGATTGTTAAATTCAATTGAAATTTTTTTTTATACTCTATATTTTATATCGAATATTTTAGAAAAAAAATTTTTTTTAAGGACAATACAATAAAAAAAAAATAACATACTTGGGTGTAGTAGTGCTGGAGAGATTCTTAGCAATAACCTGGAGATCATTTTGAGCAGAAATATTTTGAGCTTCTTTAACGATAGTTTGATACCGTTTGGTCTGTTCGCTGACGCGCTCCCCAGCAGCTTCAGCAATTCTGGTAACGCATCCGCATGTAAGTCCGGAAAGTTCCTCGTAAACCTCAGCTATTTCCCCGAGCAAAGTTGGCAGACAGTGAAACTGATAACGCTCGGCAATTGCGTTGGTTGCACGTAGCTGGAGCACGTACGCGTTGTGAGCATCAAAGTAAGCTCGCTTCAGATTGTTTTGTTCCTGCTCGCTTGCAGTGCTCTCATTAATGGTCAAAAGAGCCCCATATGCGCGCTTGTAATCCACCCTTGCACGCTGCAGCTTCTCCTCTGTCTTGCTCACCACTTGCTCGTACGCTTCACGATGAGCAAACACCTGGAGACATCAAAATATTATTACTAATACATTTATTCGTCTTACAGTTCTCAGATATATGTTTTGTTCTTCAAGTCATCTCATAAATCATGAGCTTTTGCTTTATTTGTGGAATTTAGAGTCACCCAAGGTTTCTCTTTTACAGAAAAAACTAAATAGTAAAATTCAATCAAACTCTATTTTTTTCTTTTCTAAGATATTAAATTAAATATTACATAACATAATTTCAAAAATTTATAATTTAATATTAATAAAAAATATTTCACGAAAAAAAAAAGAATTTTACTTGATTTAAAAGACAAATTTTTACTCCAAAAAAATAATTTTGAAGAATTTTATCGTCTTGATTAAAGTAAAAAAATTCTTAAACTTAAAATTTTGATTTGATTCAATAATTTTTATATTTTAATCAAGTAAAAAAATTTTTAAACCGATTTTTTTGGATTAAAAATTTTCTTCTTGATTCAAGTCAATTTTTTGATCAGTTTTTTGAAAAAAAAAAAAAGACTCTTACTCTTTTAAAATAATTTTTTTAATTATAAAAAATTGCCAATTCACTAAAAAATAGTTTCGTTTTAAATTTGTTATTTTATCTCGTAAATTTTGATGTTAACGATATTAAAATGAAAAATTTGTACTATAGAAATTAAATAACCTTTACAAATCTTTTATTAATAATTGCGATTATATTTTTTACTCAATAATTATTTAATTGTAACATTTGAATAATAAATGGGATAATAATTTAATGATAGTTTAGTTTTTTTCTGTGCAGGAAAAAATTCTATGTCTATCTATATATTATACAAAATAAAGGAGCTTTTACGAACAAGCTGATAATCTAGTGTAGGCGGAGGGCGTCAACAAGTTTTCTTATACTTCCTGTTAATTATTTAATTAACTTGAGAGATAATCGTCACGCTTGGTGTTATTTGAGGGCTTAAATATTGTTTAATTAGATGAATTATGTTCTGAGTCGCTGACGCCTCGAGTATAAATAATTATGTTGTTAACACCTGGCGATTTTTTTTTTACTTCAGTTTTCTGAAGTACAAGAAAATTTTTTTATCTTGAGTTTTTTAATAATTAAATTTGTGCTGCAATGTAATTTCAAGTTTATCTCAACAGAGTTAACTTTGTTGTAAACTAAGTTCCAACAGCATAATCAACGATAAAATTACTAAACGTTAATTACTTAAGGCATTATTTGCCTACAAAGTAAATGGAACGTATAGAAATTATAATTTTGTAACAAAAAAATTTGGAATGTTTTAAAATCATCGTTAATGAATAAAAAAAATAAGATTAATTGAAATAAAGTAAAAAAAAAAATTTTTAAATAAAAAAATTATTTGCTAAGAATTTTTTTTACTTGATTGAAAACATTTTAATTCTTTAAAATAATTTTCCTAATTATAAATTTATTTTTCTGGATCAAATTAATTTTTTTTATTAATGTTTATTTATTTTTTACACGCTGAAAATTGATTTGGTTTAAAAGAAAAATTCTTGAATCAAGAAAATTATATTTAAGAGTTTTATTGACTTGAATCAAAATAAAAAATCCTACAATCAAATCAAATTTACTTAAACTATACCAAAAATATCTTAGTTAAAAAATTTTTTTACTTAAATCAAGCCGATTAATCTTTTTAATTTTTTAAATAAAAAAAAACAGGTAATAAACATCAAATATTTTTAAATTTTAATTCTCATATATCACGAAATTAATATTACCTAAACTTTATTATTATTAAAAATAAAATTCAACGTAACGATAAGAACAAAATGCGTGGAATAATTTATTAAACCATCAATTTTCACTTATATAATACACACCTAGCAGGACAAAATTTAAAATCCATAATTCACAACCCTAAATTAATATTAAATATTAATTTACAAGAGTTAATTAAATTCCTGACAAAGTTTACGATATAAAATCCCAACTTCCCTTATTAGTATAACATACTTTACGACATTAAATGCCTACTTTCCTCATTATAGTATAATAATAATGATAATAATTCATAATAACAATCCTTGTTTAAGTTTTGAATTAATTAGCCATTAAAAACCAGAAGTGCGCTCGAATAAAAAAAATTTGACATAGAGACCTTTCGTGACTGGATTTTCCGGTAAAAACAGGCTTCTTGGGCCGGCCGGGAAATTTGCTGCTGTAAAACGGCCGCGAGGTCCAGCTGTGCCGCGGCGTCTGCCTCCACTTGTCGCAAAAGACTCTCCCATAAACGGCGGATCCCGTTGGCACCAACGTCGTTTCTAGATTCGCTGCTTCTGCCGCGGAACTCGTCGACGATCCGTCGGACGTTAGCCGCGTGATTTTCTATCGCGCCTCCAAGCTCCTGGGCAAACTCCGAAACTGAAACATACGTTTATTATCAAATTTAATTTGGGATAAATGCACCAATTATTGACCGATTAAGGTTTTCTTTTTCTGTACTAAGCTATAAAAAAATTATTAACTACAATTTGTAATGGATTTTATTAAAATTAAATACTAAATTAATATCTATTTATAATAAAAATTATATTAATTTTAGTATTTAAATCTTGAAATACTAGAATCACCAATTATTAACCGAAGAAACCCAATAAAGTATGTAATTAAATTTATTCAGTACTTTTGAAATATTAACGACATCTTTAACAAAACTAAACTTACAATATAATTTTAAATCGTACTTTTTTATAAAATAATAGCAATAATTAACATAAAGTCACATTTTTTTAGGTCACAAATGAATTGCGTAATTTTTTATTATAATAATTAAAGGCCATATTTTTTTATTTTAATACTTTAAGAAAAAAGAACCCTTGTAAAATATTAATTAATTAACTTTTTTATACATCGGTCAACAACAAAAAAAAATTTTTTTAATTTTTTAAATTATTAAAATTCATTTTTGACAAAAAAATTTGTGCCTTAAAATTTTTTAACACAATATTTTTAAAATAATCCTGAAATTTTCAGCAGTTTTTTTTTTTATTAAAAAATATGAGAATTGGAATTTTAAATAAAAAAATTATTATTCTTTACTTTATTTAACTTTAATGTTAAAACAAAACATAAAATAAATCATGAATCATGACACATTTCATAACAAAGTTTTCCATTAAAAAGAAAAGAAAAAAAAATGTAAATAAAATTTTCCAATTTTCATGACTTATATCCATAACTTTGAGTTATAATTTATTTTATGTGCATCAATAAACGGCAAACAAAAAAAAAGCAATAATAAAATGTCACAATAAATAGAAGTAAAAGTAAAAATACAAGTACAACAATCTTGACATTGTTATCAATATCAATCACGACAATAATTTAATGTCTGAGATACTTTTTGGCTGACTGTCAAACGTCCAGTAGCAATAACTGCTTTGGACACGAGCCTGTCTAGTCTCTGAAAAGCTTGATATCAGACATAAACGTTTTTTATTAGGTCTTCGATGTCGTTGACATTTTCGACCAGCACTAAAACTACCAACTAAATAAAAATAAAACAGTATAATATAAAATAAAGATAAACCCCGTCGAACTACGGCCAAGGTAGCAGATAGAAGACAGTTCTAGGCGCTTGTAGCTGCTTATATCTAAGACTTTATTTTATTATATTGTTTCTTTACCAGCCAGGCTTTTCTCTTCCGCTATTAAATGCCAATCAACCTGTTAATGTCAACGATAATGTCCTTTCAAACGTTAAATTATAACTTTATCATCGTCACTAATCTTACATCTTACTTACACTTTGACATCATATCATTTTTCATTCAATTTACTTGTTTTAAGAATTTATTATTATTGTTATTATTATTAAGAGAAAAAGTAAAATTTTGTGGCCATTGTATTTATATCATTCTCACCAATAGTCAATGCATCATGATAAGAATTTAGGCTGCATTCGAAAATGCTCTATCTCTAGATCGATAATTTAAGAAATGACCTTGTATCTCGTGAACTATTGACATTTTTAACGATATAAGCTCATCCCTATGTTATACTCATCAAGACCTTTCATTTAAGTACCCACATCAATTTTTCATATATTTATGTGTATTATATATATGTATATATGAAAAATATATCAAAATGCATGTGGGTACTCAAATGAAAGCTCTTGATGAGTATATCATCGGGATGAGCTAATATCTTTAAAAATGTCAATAATTAAGAAATTACATTGAATCTTGTCATATAATGACATTTTTAAAGATATAAGCTCACCCTCACATTACACTCATTGAGACCTTTCACTTAAGTACCCACATCAATTTTTCATATATTTTATATATTTATATATATTGCATATATGTATGTATGAAAAATATATCAAAAATGCATGTGGGTATTCAAATGAAAGCTCTTGATGAGTATAACATCAGAATGAGCTTATATCTTTAAAAATGTCAATTGTTAAATAAGTACAGTGCAATTTAACACGTCATTATTTAATAAAGGGAAATTTTATTCATTATAGTTCACAAGTCACGGCAGTCACATAGTGACTGCAAGATTGCTAGTTATTATTATTTTTATTAAAAAAATAAATAATAAAATATTGAACATTGAGTTGATGTAAATAAAATTATTTTCCGTGATATTTAAATTACTATTTTAAAGTAAGTAAAGAAGCTCATCGATGCGATTATAATTTCCGGGCTCAGAAATTTATATTAAATTCTATTTAATATTTATTAACAAGAGAAAAAAATTTTGTAGTTTATAATCTTTTATATCTTTTGTAAAAATATTTATTTCTTTTTTTTTTTTTAGTTAAACTTTTTTTTAACGCATCAATTTTCCAATCGAGAGTTGAGTTGTCGGCTCTCAAAGTTAGAGTAATTCTTTCTTTGAAAGCCGATATCTGGAGAGAAATTATCCCAGCGCTTATACCAACCAACGAGTTTAAGAGAAAAGATCAATTTAAAAGTGTCTGCAAGCGAACTATAGAAAAATTTTTTGAGCCAAGCTTTATAGTTTTTGTAGTTTAACAATTCCGGACGTGAAAAGCCGATTGAATAATTAAACTTTCAGTTAACGAGATTTTTTATAACTTCATTCATAACTGAGAGTTTATTTTAAAGAGAAAATAAATTAAAATTTATTTTAGAAATTTTTTAATTAGTCTAAATCTACAAATAGAAGCAACTAGGTTTTAGATGACGTCGCTTGAAGATCAATCATCTTAAAGTTAGTCGTTGGATGTATATAAATTTCTCTTAAGCGTATGTACACACAGTGTAAGGTAGAATTAGAGCGATATATAATTTAATTATTGAGATTGATAATTATGAAAATTCTGTAATTGATTATCGAGGTTCATTGTCGGAATCGGAATCAGAAATAGAACAATAGAAGCACCCACGCACACCCACTAGCTTACACTGTCAGGTAAAGTGAGAGTGCATTGATTTGATAAATTAGCAGATGGCAAATTGTATAATTGCCAATGGTAAATTGGTAAGACCGAGGTTTAGTCGAGCTGCCCGTTGATTTCGATTCCAACTCAAGGCGACGTATACATATCAACACATATGTTTGTCCTTCGTATATATATATATAATATCTATGGCTCTAGTTTGTAGAGTGTAGTTGTACCCTTTGTCAGTGATTCAGCTAACGAACTCAACTATCATGTTATGCGTTTCTAGAATATTGTAATTAGTTTTACAAACTTACGCTCTATCGATTCAACTTGACTATGTTTACTATCTATCACATTATATTATATTTCTATGACCGCAAAAATGATCAATGATCATGATCGTGTTAATCATTAATTAATTTAGAAAATAATTAGTAACTTTGCAGTCACTATGTGAGCTATAAATAAATTAAATTTTGCTTCATTAAATAATGACTTTTGTTAAATTGCACTGTACTATTTTAAGTATTGACTTTTTTGAAGATATAAGCTCATCACGATGTTAGACTCATCGAGAGCTTTCATTTGAGTACCCACATGCATTTTAATTTATTTTTCATATATACATATATATAATATATAAAATATATGAAAAATTGATGTGGGTACTCAAATGAAAGGTCTCGATGAGTATAATGTCGGGGTGAGTTTATATCTTCAAAAATGTCAATAGTTGACAAGATATTTGTTAAATTTCACTAAACTAGCTTAACTATTGACTTTTTTAAAAGTATAAGCTCATTTCGATGTTACATTCATCAAGAGCTTTCATTTGAGTACCCACATGCATTTTGATATATTTTTCATATATACATATATATAATACACATAAATATATGAAAAATTGATGTGAGTACTCAAATGAAAGGTCTCGATGAGTGTAATGTCGAAATGAGCTTATATCTTTAAAAATGTCATTAGTTCACAAGATATCAGGTCATTTCTTAATTATGTATCTAAAGATAGATTAATAGTTATTGTACTGAAAATAAGTAATTTTTTAATTTGTAACATAAATTTTATCATATTAAATCTTCTCAATTCTTTTATTTGACGTTAATTTTTATTAAATATCTTAATCACATTTTTTTTTTTAATTCTAAGAATTTTTTATTAAATTAATTATACTTCCAATATTTTGGATCCCAATATTTTTGTCAAAATTGTGCTTGTACTTTTCAGTGAATTTACATTATAGCTTTTGTTGTTAATTAAAAAAAAAATGGCAAAAATTGTTGCTAATATGGTGTAATTAAAATTGCAATGTAAAGAATTTAAAAAGCTTCTATATTAAAAAATCAATATCACAAAATAATGACAATAATATTAAATTAATATAAAAATTTTCATAATTTGTAAAAAATGATTTAGTGAGGTTTCTCAGAAGCACCGAGTTATAAATTGGATCATCGTGTAAATGAAAGAATTACCTCGATACCCAGCATGAATATTGATAAAAAACCATCTTTGTAAAATGTATTCACCCATCTCTCACCATTTAAAATCCCTTTGTGAGTAAATATTCCGCTAGCAGAATTATTAAGCTTGACTGTTACAAATACGAACATCAAAAAAGTTTAAAAAAAATAAAGAAATAAAAAAACATTTGTATAAAAAAAAAAAAAAAAAAAAAAAAAACAAGCCTCGTATATTAACGTGATATGACCGAAGAAACAACGACGAGAGACGAGAGGATAGAAAGAGGTCGAGACGTAGTTCAACCTGCCGCCCAACTTGAAAATGGCACGAACGGCCTTTGTAAGTCATTTTTTTTTTTAAATATAAAACTTTCCTCTTACTTATTTTCCTCCATCATCTTTGGTTAAACTTCTCCGCTCTTCTCTACTTTTCTCTCTCTCTTTTTCTCTTCTCTAGTGTACTATCCAGCCTTTTCTCCTACACTTTTATTTTTAATATTTTCCTTTCACCGCCGGGAT